ACGGGAAGGGCTCGGCTGGAGCCCCCGCTGTGAAGAGACAGATGACTTGTGTGTGGAGAAACTCCGAAATGGCGGGAAGTCTGGCATTTTACCTCAGCCTTAAACGCTGCTCCCTGGATGCTTTTGTTAGCGGTGGAGGGGGCGAAACAAAGGCCGAGGCATTTCCTCGGGATGTACCTGATGTGACAAGTCAGAAATGTCCTGCTTGGGGAAGTGACCCAAAATTCAGGACAGCGATTACAGCTGAGCTGTAGCTGAGTAGGTGGTGTGAGTCTTGAGAGACGAGAGAGAGAGGCAGCTCCTTAAAATCCTTCCTTGTCTGCTCGATCAAAACCAAGGAGGTGGCCTCATTCATAATTATTAACTTGATTATGTTTAACTGTTCCTCAATCCCCAAAGAACACTTATGTAGCCTCTACAGACGCCAGGTAGTAGTTATTATTTAAATAAGAGGTTTTTTGGAGTTTAACTTGCGTAATAACTGGGCTCTAGAAGATTTCCTACGGCTGCGTGGCAAATCTGGAAGGTGCCGTAGTACAAACCTAGAGCTCTGAAGCACAATGTAAAGGTGCACAGTTAGTAAATGGTACTGACGTCCAATTGCACTTTTCAGTGTTTTAAGTTCCACCTTACTCGGTCTCATTTCTTCTGCCTTAAGAAACTGTAAAAAAATACTTTTTTCTTCCTCATTCATTATTACTGAGTTACTCATTCATTATTACTGAGTTACTAATCACCTTGGTTAAAATTAATTCAAGCTATTGGATTGCACTAAGCTGTATGGACTATTAAAGGTCTACCTAAAGCTTTAAGTAGTGCATTCCTTTAAGCAAGGCTGATTTTTCTTCCTTCAGGAAAAAAAAACAACCTATAAAAACTGCTAGTCTGACAAGGAACTCGAAACAAAAATACCTACCAACCTTCTTTTTTAGGGAAATACATGCCTCTTTTAAATTTTTATATAAACTAAATTTAAATCTAAAATAACAGAAAACACTAATTTTGTGGATTTTATTAAGAAAAAGCTTTATCATTTGCCTGCTGTACTACAGGAGTAAATAGGCCTTGCTTGTTCTAGAAACAAGCAGTTTGTTTACAAATACTGCTGCACAAAAATTAAGACCAGGAAGTAAAGTTTAAGCATTGCATTAATTTACATCGAATTCCAAATGTTTTCAAATCAATGTGGTTGTTTATACAGAGTTACCAATGATCCTTCAGTCGTTATCAAGCTCATTTAGACTGATTGTTGGTACTTACCACTAGCTGAAAGCAAGCACAAAAGATGTTCTGAAGTTCATGATAGGTGAAGTCTGCTTGCATGTGCTAACACATTAGTCTCATCCTGGGAATATTTTTGCAACCTAGGTTCTGGAAGCCTTGAGCATGGGAAGTTCTTCAGTATCAGTCCCAGAGGTCGCTGCTCCTTCGACAGGTCCTTTTCTCTCACTGCTGCCTTAGATCAGAAGGTAAGAAAGGGCTAATTCCTACCTTGACTTCAGTCACGGATTAGGTAGCGCTGTGTGAATTGCTTTGATGGACAGCTCAAGGTTAAGACTGAGCTGTGGATCACTCATGAGGCTTGGGCTGGGTGGGAAAGGCAGAACAGATGAAAAAAACCAAAACTTTCAGCTTTGGAGCTAAATTAACATGGGGCAAGTCCCCCTGAGACTTGCATAGCTCTGTTTGAAAGTATATGTGCGTGTGTAAGAGACTTTACGTGCTCATTGTTAACTTGAAGGGAAGTGTCTACTTCAGGAGGGTACCATACAGAAGCCTCACTCTTGCTAAACAGAATCCTGGTAGAAATTTAATTGTTTAATATAGTGTTGTCACGGTAACTGTGATTCCAAGTGCATTAATTTCATAAAAATGAACACAGCATTTCCGGTAATGTGACTACATGGGCTTAATGGTGACCTGTAATGAACAGGTAGTGGTGGTGAGACTGGCAGGTACTGCCAAAAAAAAGGAAACTAATGCAGGGATTGCTTCTGGCACTATGCAATATAGGGATATGCTGCAGCAGCAAGAGCTTACCACTAAAAAGCAAAGCAATGCCTCGAGTCATCTACCCAAAGGCAGGCAGGAAGGTCTTGCTGTACTTCACGGATTGTATACCGCTTTATAGAAGAGCTGTTTGCAAGGCTGCAGTTGTTAAGGAAAACTGTTCAAAAGACAAAATTTGCACATCAGCTGTTTGTGTTGTGCATCATGTTGTCTCCAAGTTTCAGAGATTTTAGAAACTACGTGAACAGGCTCACCAGCAGAACGCTCAGGTGGTCTGGGTTTTTTTGACTTCTAATAGAACCTGATCTGCCATATTAATTTAAAACTGGAGAATTAGGAAGGAATTACTAGTTGGAGTATTCTAGGTTGACAGTTACCATAAGTTCGCAATGACATGAAGAATTTTCTATTTGTAAACCAGCATCTCATTGTCACATTTGAGCAGCTTTAGACCATGATCTGAGTATACCTGATGCAGCAGTGCCTACTTAGTTTGCAAGCACCCAGATCCCCTTCAAATCTGTGGAAGTTTATGGTTCTGCTGATAGCAAAGGGATGTTAATTCCTAGCTCGGTTTCGCCACAGTATCTGCATCGTTTCACATGAGGTGTTGCGCAAAAAAGATGCTGCAGTTGGTGCCAAGGCCTCTTGTAGGCTCCGATATGCTTTCCTTGCTGATGGCAGGAGATCAGCAGCCCAAGGGGAGGTAAACCTCGTGCTGCTGGCCCTGTCTGCATGAAAGAGAAGGGCCTAGTGCCACAACCACTAGGTGGTTGAAAGTTACTTGGAAGCTCTTCCTGCATTGCACATGTGAAAGCAGCGTGTTATTACCTTTTAATTTTCAAGACAAAGCATTGGTCCATGGAACCATTCATAAAATGGTGCTTGACTCCTGCAGACCTAAGTAGCTGCGGCAGGACTTCAAGAGCTTTCTGAAGGAATGCATTTATAAAGTTAGCTTGTTTAAGAGCATGTTTTTTTCACGACCTGTACCTCCCTTCCGATCTATTTCAGTTCTTCAGGAGGATACTCCCTACCTTTCATAAAGGGCAAAGAGCTGTAAATTTCTTTCCTCTCGGTATGAGTTTGTATTTATCTGAAATGCGTAAGTGTCATAAAACAAAGATTCATGTGAAATTGCTTAAGTTTTAAGTAATTAAAAAAACCCCAAATAAAACAATGAGGGCAAGCAGTGAGGGATTAATGATCCATAGGAGGTGGAAACTGTAAATGCATGTAAATTGGTGGTTTATGTTTGATGACCTTCTCTATGGGTGGACCTAAATTATCTACTAGAGTATGCTGCTGGTCCATTTCAGGTCTTGCAGAAGTGGTTTATTTGCATGGAAACAAGCATGTGGAATTGGCAGAAAACACTGGTGTCATTTCCATGTATTCGACTCTATGTAGCACCAAGACTTGCAGCTGAAAGAGGCAGCTGGAAAGTGCTCCTAGGTCCAATACTGCAGGTGCAGCATTAGGCCTTCAGCCTGCAAGAACATTATATTAATATTGTAATACAAAATGTATAGATACAAATGAAAACCAAGAAGTACAACTTTTACAAAATATTATTTTGAATCTATGTATATACATTATGCACATTATACATGGATTTTATATGTCACATATGTCTCCAGGTTTACTCACAACCATTCACGCAGTGACTTTCTGTGTTATTCTTGTGTTTTGAATTGTGAACCATTCTTGAATCTGTATTATATTATTATTCTGGATTAAAGAAGAAAGTAGGTACAGGATCTTGTTTAACAAAACTATACAAAGTACAGTGTCTGTCCAATTTAGATTTTTCCAAAAGGCTGGGTCAGAGAGAGATTATTTAGAAATTTACCACACCAAGGCTGAAGATTTGCCAAGTAAAATAACTGTATAACAAAGGCTAGAGTGTATCATGAGAATACTCTTTAAATTTATACTAGTTACATGATGTGCTTACATTTTTTTTAAAGGATAAACAATTATACAACTCAAAACAATTAGTTCTTTCTAGTCCCATGGTGCTTCTATTGCAAATAAGGCGGGGTGCTGGAAGTGGAAAGTATTTTGTATTTGACTGTTTTTTAAAACAAAAATTCCTTTTCAAAATGAAGGTTATGCAACTTGTATGATTTTGAAAAACAGAGGTGAAGAGTTGAAGACCTTTTGGTCCCTGAGTAAATACCTGGAAAACTACTAAAATCTATACATTTGTTCACAAGGCCACCTTTCCCCCTCAATACCAACAGACGCATCTTGTTTCTGAGCTGTAGGCACAAGCCACCACCAGTAAAGCGTAATCCTTGAATTGGCCAGTCTTCATTCCAGTTCAGGCCAGGGTTTTAATTACGGGCTCCTCCTGTTATGTACCACTGAAATTAATTGAAACCTGTCCTCCATTCTTTTGTTTGGGGACCTGCTTACGCTCTACATCTTGTACATCCAGAAGTTTTCGATCAGCTTAGAAACGCTGCAACGAAGATACACCATCATGGTACGTAGCCCCTTCATAACAAAGTGGGACATTTAGTTGGTCTGTTGTTTGCCAGCAGTGGCTGACTCCCCATTTCCTTGAGTTTCTGTCCACTTTGAGGTGTCAGTAACGCAGGAGCAGAGAGGTGATGAGCAGCTCCTTTCAGCTGATGAAAGTTGTTAATGTAGCTGGCAATCAGTAGAGTGATCTCAAGAATCTATAACAGGAACATGCAAAACTCTTTCAGAAATACAGTGATGTGTTTTGACTGCTGAAAAAATAGCTAACTTTTTAGCAAGTGACAATCACCATCAACTGGAAAAGTACTTGCACTTTATCAAACACATTAATGATGGGGAGAGAGGAGATGCCTAACAGAGCTTTCTTCTACTGCTCCTTGCAAATAATGTAACGTTATTCCCGTCAGTATGTTAGATAATTTGTCTTCCATGGTCTTAAGGGATTCAAGCAGATGGCTGCTTTCACTTTGGGAGAAATTTTGAAGTCTGAAAGATGAAAAAACTTTCATGATGTGTTCCCTCAGTTTTCCTAGGAAATATTTAGTGGCCAGAGAATTAAAGATGCAGGGTAGATAAAATGAATAAAGACTTCTGGGAGCTTTTAACCATATTTTCTCTTTGCAGCCCACACGACCTTGCTTGTAAGGGGACAATCTGAGGGAACTCTGAACAGATGTTTTCACTATGCTTATTTGTATGAAGATTTGTATGTGGAATTTTGTATTTTGTGTCATAAATTGTTTTGACTCACAGCAAAAGACTTCAAAAACACTGCTTTTAAAAGAAAATACAGTCTTACCAGTGAAAGAGACAATCTAGATTTCAAAATTGAACCCCTTCTTTACCAAAGGTAAAAATATCCCAGGATTTTTAAGAAGTGACTGATCTTTCAGATCTTGTGTTCTACAATTCCACTGTAGAACACAAATGCACCTTCTTAAAAATGATCTCTGGTGCTGATCAAGCAAACAGACTAGTTTTTAGGTACTGCATATAATTCCTGTCTTTAATATGAGCCTTCTTTGTCCTGCTATGAAAAATTTGGAATGTTACAGACAGAGACATGAAAAGAAAAGGAACACATCAGTATTGTCACTGCTAGGTCTTATATTACTAATTGTTTTGCTCTCTGAAACCACATGGCAAATCTCAATAGTCTGAGAATTCTAGGAATAAAGGAATGCTAGGTGTTTCATCTTGCACATCTGTTAAGGATTACCCACTAGAAAAAGTGGAAAAGTAGCAGATGGTGGGAAACTATTTCAGGTAATATACAAACCTTTGGTTTTGTCATGGCAAAAAGGTGTTTTTCAGTTGCTTTGTCCTTTGTCTGAGCGTTGCTGACAACCAACATAAAATCGTCTTGATAGCCTCCAAAAGTCATCAGACTCTTATATGTGTATGTAACTGTTAATCGCTTCAGAAAGAAAACCCCAAAAAACAAAGCACAGAGTCATAAGTGGGACAATGCAGGAAAAACAGATTATGAGAAATACTTATTTAAAAAATATAATTACATGTTTATTTTTCAAAATGTCGTTATTAGTGTCTTACGAATTTTGAAAATAATTGTAAATTTTAGGATAGCTTCATTCACACATTCAGTGTGGGGAATTTCCACTGCAGATGATGACTCTTGTAAGTTTGACCTCTGTTTCTATTCCAAATTAATGAGATCAAAGATATTATAAGCAGGTTTCAAGTCAAGTGTGTAATTCAATTTATACAAGCCTTGACTGACTTTGGGAGACGTTTATCTTAGGAATTCCATTTGAAATCGAAGCAGCGTCTAAATAAAGTAAATGGCAGAGTATGAGACAGCTAAAGGAATTTTACTCCAGGACTTCTTTTTGTGTAATGATGTAGCCTGTGTACACACAAATGATACTGAATACTGTTTTCTTTTTTTCACATCTCTGATGAAGCATAAATGCTTTTTAAGGCTCCTCTGCCTTCTGTGCCTTGGCTCTTTTTGTTCAATGTTCAACACCCCATTAGAGGCCTTTGAGTCAATGATTAGCATTTAATTTATCATTACCACTCATATTAATTTGCTGCAGATGTTCACATGTAAAATTAGTCGTAAGGCAATTATTTGTACAGTAACTTAACTCTACAGTGACTTAACGTTCTCCAGTTTCTAAACCTCTTTTTGCCCTTATTTTGAAATAGTGTTTTCTCTTCCCATTGCACAGCATCATTTCTGATACCCCTGATCCTTCCTGCAGAAAATCAGAATATTCCCTGGCAGCTCAGCATTTCTTGAACGGCAAGTAAGGGTGGCTGAGGCTGCACAGGGGCAGCGCTCTGCAGAAATGCTCTGGCCAGCTCTGTGAGTAGGAAGCGTTTATCGAGCTCTCTGCAGGCTGCTGCAAGCTCATTTTACTTTTCTCTGAAGAGAGCTGCCGTTTGCTCTCCCTGTGTTGTTTTATTATTTCTTTAACTGTAAAGGAACGTAATGAAAAGGCCCGTATCAGTGCAATTATGAAGTTGAGATTTTAATTTTCTGATATTCAATATTAGCACTTGCTAATAGCGGCATGCCATTCTCTTTCATTGCAGGATATAAATTAAAGCAGGGATCTTCTCAGGCACTGCTTTTTTACACTGATTACCGTGAGTCGTTTTCTATGAAAACTTTTATTGCAAATCAAAGAAAAATCAGAGCCTAAAATGACATAATTAAATAACACTGGGTTATATTACCTACTATTAAACAAAAATAATACAAGGAAAATAACAATCTGTTAAACTAACTGCTCTTTGCAGACTGTATGTATTATGAATAATAATGGAAAATGAAATCTCCAGGAAAAGAAAATTAATGTTATTGTAAGAACTGTAACTATGGATCTCCTGACATCTGAATGATTAAAACATTAATATTTCATTAAAAGATATAAAAACTGTATCTGATAAACAAAAATAAATTCTGTACAAACAACTCATTACTTATTTCTATTATTAGTGCTGCTGTAATGATGATAGCATTAAAGCCTTTTGGGAGGAATGAATTTTTGCTTTGAGTGAAAGATCAGATAAATTAGCGTGGACGGCTAATGCCACCTTTTATGTAGTATTGTGGGGAATCTCTCCATATACTCAGTATTAAAATCTGCTTTGACCAGAATTAAAAAAGAAATTTCCCTTACCATAGAGCTGTAATCTAGGATGCTTATGCCATCTTCATGTACAGCAAACCAGATGAAGGCCTTCTCAACGGAGGAGGTCGCTAGAGGCTACAAAGAGAAATGTTCTTTAATGACTACTTCAAAATGAGGCAATATATAAATTATTATTAAGTCTCAGCTTTTATAGAGCTCTCTCCATCCACAGATTTTACTGAGATTTACACTGGCAGGGTACTGATGTAAAGGAACTGAAGTAGCTAGATGGCCTGAAGCCATGTAGGTGGCCAGTGGCAGACCTGTTAATTCAACTTAATACTCTTGAAGCCTCCTCTGGTGCTTAGTCCAGTAAAATGTAAAACAAAAAAAAAGTCATGTGTTTTAAAGTTTGTTCACTAGCACGTATGTCTACATATGTGAAGAACAGAGTGCTAATAAGCAATTATATATATATATATATATGTATGTGTATATACTGGGATTACGTAATAAAACGTAAGGCATGAGGTGACAGTTCTGTTTAACATCGCTGTTATTTGAATCAAGAGAATTAAGATACTAGTGGTTTAAGAGAAACTGAGAGGCCAGAACAGAGGGGAGTGCTCTAAATACCCGGAACAACTTTTACTGATTCTGCAAAGTTCAGCTTTCACAGCCAGCTCATGATGCCTTTTCAACATTCTACTAGTTAACAGGTAAAGAAACAGTCTGAAACAAAAACCTTGTCTCAGACTAAGATAAAGGAAAATGAAAAGATACAACCTAGATTAATAATGTAAAACAAGCAGTAAGTGTATTGGAGAGTTACTGTTGTGGTATACATAGTACTATGGCTATTACATTTTACCAGTATATGGCTTAAACAAGTTACTAATTTGGCAATAGATTCAGTCAGCACACGTGTGCTCATTCAAAAGGTATTATTATTTGCAAATTCTATTTATATTAAGAAAACCCAAACACCACTACTCAAACTCAGTCAAGTTTCAAGTTTCTTACTTTTGCTGCAAACAATTTAGCACCGAAGAAAGACCATTTTCTGGCTACAGTGAGATAAATGCGCACGCAGTCTGCAGCACTGTGCCCCCGGAGAGCCATCCATCTTGTAGACAATCTCTGACAAAGCTGTCTGTTGAAATGAAATATGTAATTTAGTTATTGAAAGGAATTTAAATGCTTACCCATAGCGAGTTTAATGAGCAAAAAAGAATCCATTTGTTAAAGTGATAATTTAATACAACTATCACTTATACATTATTAAATAAACCCAAAACACCATTTAGTATTTTTATGCACATGAAAATTATGCATTATCTTCTAATTTCTGCAACATTATGATTAAATATTGATGTAGCAGTTGCAGCATAAAGGGAGAAAGTCTAGGACAGTTTTTAATATGTCTCTACAGATAATCAATCTATCTTAATCAGTACTCAACAGCTAGTCCAGTTGTCATTCCAAAAATCCATCCAGCTTAGCACGTATCTGTACCTGTGGCTGGTATTAGATATAGAAGATCTGGCTTAACGCTGCTCTTTTTTAGCGTATCTGGGCGCTGCCACCGAAAAGGGAGCTTTTGATGCACGATGCATTTGTGCTGGCTCTTTTGTTGTGTGGCCCCACGGTGATCTGGTTCAAGAAAATGATCCTAGTCCTCAAAAAAACCCCACCGGGAATACCTTCCTTGCACACTGACCTGCAGGGACGGCTCAGCTGGCAGCCACAAGGTTATGAGGTGCAGCCCAAGAAAAGAGAAGGGGAATGTGTAGTGAAGGGAGATCTTTCACTCGCAGCTGACTTTTATGGGATGCTTATGAAGTCAAACTGCACCCTCAGCAAACGAACAGAAGCAACAGGGTGGGTACAGTGGGGGTTCTGTCCCTGCCACAGACTTCCACATCTGGCAATGTGTAGTTTAGGGGCTACTCAAACAGTTCAGCATGTGTTTGACCTACCCTCCATGAGTCTAGTCTAGACTTCTTAGACTTTGCTCTTTGAAATTAATTTCGTAACTTTCTATTTGTTGTGCCTGCATTTTTGAATGTCCCTATTATCTTCTGAGTATGTAATAATGCCACTCTGTGAACATAACAGCTTTCAACTTTCTCAACCCTATAGTGAAGAAATACGTCTGTGACGTTTATTGGGCTTCAAAGTTGCGGTATCATTGATTTTGGATAATTTACTACACTGTTCTGGTCTTCTTCATGTTAGGACGTTGTGTCTGAAATGACTTGCAGGTTATTAATTTTAAATTAAGTGACACTTCACTAGCAAGCCCACTAGGTTAATGTATTGCTGATTTGAGTGGCTGCCAGAGATTGCACGTTTGAATAGCAAACACTCAGATCAGATCCTCATGTCCTTTACTTCCAGTAGTTCCTTAGTCTGCACACAGAGTTAATTTAGATTTGCTGAGTAAGAAAAAGAAGAATTTCAAAATCGCTTGGTTTTGTAACACTGTGTAATAACTTGTACAGCTTTTTCTGGAATGCCTGCTTAATGATGGCCCTCTGTTTAGATTGAAATACACAGAGGAAATAGGTTCTTCAAATCAGGAAGAAAATGAGTTGCCAAATGCAAGCCTGGGCAAATAATGTTGTGGCAGTAAGTTGTACCTAATAACAATTTAAAACTTCTTTATTTCACTCCTGGACTTTTAGAGAATACAAATCGCAAAATACAACTCACCTTAATTGTTCCTCTGAACAACCGTGCCTGTATCTCAGAGGGTAGAATCTCTCCAAAACTTGTTTTAATGTTTGATTGGACTTGGACTGGCAAGTGACTTGCCCTGCAGGAGTTGAGAAAGGCCGTTCAAAATCTCCGATCTCTACCTAAGTGAAAGACCCCCAGGAAAAAATGCTCTGTTAGTGCGGAGTAATTTTCTAGCTGCGCATTACAAGCTATCTTTTTCTCTGTCTTGCCAAGTATAAAATGAAGAACAATTTGTCAACTGATGTGTATTTCTCACTGATATAAAAGTCATGCAAGTAATTCTATTCTTCTTATATTTACCACAGAAAAAAGATAGATATCAATTGTAAATTGTACAAATGTAATACTCACTAGGTCTGCTTTGAGACTGCTAGATCTCCAGCTGGCACAAACCAGTTTAGATTTATTGAGTAACACTGTCGGGTAATTTCATCAATAACCTTCCCTTGAGCATTTCATTTTTTAAAAATAAAACAATCTTATCAAGACTACGTCTAGTAAAGGAATCTTAGGCTTCTGTTAAACGCCTCTTACTTTGGTATAGTAAGTCACAGAAGTCACATAAGGAATAGTGAATGAAGAAATGGCACAAGATTACATAATATTTAACCAAAGCGGGCCTGTCTCTGTAGGAGGTGGAGCACATTTTATCCGTCCTGGTGCCAAGAGCTGCCAAGAGTTCTTTGTTTACAGGGAAAAGTCCATTGACTATTTGATCATTTGTCTGATATACGAGCAGCAGCTTCTCTCCCTCTCTGTCTCCCCGTGGACCTGAACTGAAAAATAAAGCCTACAGAAGAGGCAGCCAAGAGCTGCGTAGGCTGCACAGCGTTTCCCAAGTTCGTGTTAGCCTCACGCAAAGATTCCAGCCCAGTCTGTTTCCTGCACTATCATGTGTAAAAGGCGGAGGTCACTTGACTGTCAAGGAGTCCTAGACTAGTTTGTTTATTCAAGTTTTTCACCTGTAAAACCACTGCGTGAGTCACTAACGTGTGAGGATTACCTGAGCTAAAAGAGCTGTCAGTTCCATGGCTAGTTCTTTGTTTACAGGGAAAAGTCCATTGACTATTTGATCATTTGTCTGATATACGAGCAGCAGCTTCTCTCTGTCTGTCTCTCCATGGACTTGAACTGAAAAATAAAGCCTACAGAAGAGGCAGAAAGTTGTTAAATAAAGAAGATAGGGAAATGCATTAGCCGTGAGGATTAGCAGTATCTGCCCTGAATGTGACATGTTAACGTCAGTGTCAAAACACATTAGCAGAGCAACACTTGTACTTGAACCAGTGGGCAAATATTTAATTTCAGTCTTCTGAGTTCAGTGTTGCTGTGTTGTTTTTGGTTTTGTTTTGTTTTGTTTTTTATTTTTATGGAAGCCCTGCTTGCCTCTTAAGAACTAGAAAAAAAAAACTTTTTTCTTTTTTTAAAAGATAATAAATCTCCAGTTACACCCATTTACTATTTATGTTGCAAACTTTGAGTCACCCAATATTTTTCAGATGAAGAAACTCCGCAGAAATTAAAAACAAATCTTGGGACAAGGCAGAGATGTTATACTTGCTAAACAAACCTATTTTTGTAAGTAAGGCGGACGGTCCTTGTGCCCTCACATTTCCCAGGATGTTGTTCTTTGGAGGCTTGCTCCCATTTTGAAATAATGTCACAGATCTAGAAGGAAAGAGATACAAAACTGACTTCGGCATCTATTCCTCTTTGCAAACATCTTTGAATAGGAATTGGCAACTTATTGTAATATCTTTAATCTGTTGCATATGAGGAATATACATAGCTTGAATTTTTGAACTTACTGGAAGAGAACTTTACTTGCATTTCTTAGTTGGAGGATTTAATAATTAAGGTTTCGTTGTCTGTTCATCCTGCAACACACACACAGCCTTTGGAAAAAAAACCATAACAGACCTCTATGGAAAGACCAGATACTTGATTTAGCAGCAGCCAGTGAGTGTGTAATTACACAGAGTGAGTTGTTATGTAATTAATTGAATGCCTTTGATCTCTGCCTTCTCTTTGTGCTGCAGGCTGGAGTTCTTCAGGTCCTTTCTAGTAACTCCTATCACGTTTGTATGAAGAAGTGGGGCAGGTGGGCAAATGGGCAGGAGGTGGAACGGAGGTCCTGGGAGCCCTGCTGGGATTCATGTCACCATTCCTCCCTAAAAGAGCCTTCCGGGAAGCACTAATGTGAACAGCTTCTAAAATTACTTTTACCAAGAAGAAAAGTACATTTTTTCTACGTTGTGCTTTCCATATGGTAATTATTCTGGTAGGGGGAGAGAGCTGATCATGATGACCCTGCTTGTTTGTCATTAAGGTCTGGTTGTACCGTACCTTGTAAGTCAAAGTGCAGCTGTGAACACTGGCCAACGGATGCAAAAGAATACTTGGTAAATTCATTATTCATTAGTTGCTAAAAGGCTTGAAATATATCTAATATTTTACTAAAGCACTGATTATATTGCATTTTGCCACAATTTTCTGCCAAGAATTAAATTCTAGTGACAGAGAACTAAAATTGCAGAACAATGATAAGCCAGACATTACACATTTTCTGAAGAGAACTCTGTTTATCCTGTATTTAGATAAGGAACCCTTCTTTTTTTTTCTTTCCCAGGATCTCCACCCCAGTATCAATGACTTTCTGGACTTCAAATGGTCGTCTTTTGAAACTATACTAGAAATGTGAACTGAAATCTCTAAATGCATGTTGGGCTCCAACGGCTTTTTAAAGAACGGCGATTAGTAACAGCTTACTTTTTCTTTTTTATCCCAGCTGTTACTTCTCTGAATAGTATCAGTCTCCTAGACAAGGCTTTTAAATATAGTTCACCGAATGAATTTCAGCAATTGATAAAATTATGGTTTTTTAAAAAAACTTCCCTTTTACCTTATGTAGAACAAAGCCTAAAGACAGTTTTCAGCCTGAAAAAATGTTTTGCTAGACAGAAGAGAGGTCTGTAAAATGGAGATACCTGTTGTTTGATATGCAGAGCTCGTTAAAGCTTTTTGTTTACCTTGATGTTTCCTTGAAGACAGTGCTCTATATCCTTGCCAGAGGGATCATCAGAAAACAGTGCAAACCCTGACTGAGCTGGTTTCCTCATCCCTGTATCCTGGTTCAGGGTGTTCAGAAATTCCTCCACTGTGGTAGAGGCATCAAACCCAACAACCTAAAAAAGCAGACAAGATGTATTTTAATATCAAATGTATAGCAACAACTCCCCACTTGAATCTAAGATTTTTAAAGATAATACTTCTAGAATAACAGTAGGAATGTAAGACCTATTCCATCCTCTGTGAATAACTTACTGTCCTTTGAAATTAAAAATTTCCATAAAGGGTCTAGAAAAGATTGAAGATTTCCACAAGGGAAGTCGATTTAGTGAAGTTTTTCTCCATCCAAAAAACAATTACCTTCCCAGCAGATTGTACCTTACTGCATTTTGTTTATGAAATTAAAGTCACTATCAAAACACTTGAATTTCTGCTGCAGAATTTGTGTAACAGAAAGCAGTGTAGTATCTAAGCTTTTTGTGAGAAGTAACACTTGAAAAATGAAGAGAACTACAATTTCCTACACTTTTCAATATGGTGGTGAAACAAATGAGATCAACTGATCATTTTTCATCATGTACAACTTCAGAAGGATATTAGATGGCAGATGTACATTGGCAGATCCAAAACATTTTGTAAATGTTGCTCTGTCAGTACTACATAGGTCAGTAATATATAGATAACAGTCTTCTAGGTTTTATTTTCCCAAATCTGAATTTTTGTCTGTTGTTACCAGCATTAAAGCATTTTAGCAAGAGATGCCAAATGGCTTTTATACAGATACTACTTGCTGCTGTTCATTTAAATCCATTTTGAGTTTGTTTTCCTGTATTTGGTATGTTGAAGATGTTTTACTCTTTTGTAAAGAAAGATCTTGAAAATGGATTTTGGACTTCTGCTTTGGGCTTCTCAGTGATTGGCATTTAAAACAATATCTGCTGAATCTAGCTTCAGAGATGAATACAAGAGTTTTCAATACCACTATATTTGCTTATTTCCTGATCCCACTGAAGTAACATGTCTTTAATTAGTTTCCATAGCACTTGAAGGTACATATTTTTGAGCAATAAATAACTAATAAGTAGTTATTCCTTTTCTTCTTCAGACTTCAATTTTGGGATCCTTTAGGACGATTTATATGCATGTTGTTTTCTTTCTGTTTTACTAGCCAAGCAGTAAGCAATTAAGAAATTTAAAGGGGGTAAAAAAAGCACACTTCTGAGACCTGAAATGAAAAGTTTATTTGATAGAGCTTTGATTTCATATAAAAACTTGCTTCCTGTCTGGGAATACTGTGAATTGTTAACAAACTCTTTTCAGACCACTCTCACAGTTAGAAACACAAACCAGGATGTGAAGCAGTATGCATGGAAACCCACGGAGAGTTTCCTAGAGATTTTGACTGATGAAGTCCCAGAAGAGTTAGGAATGAAGCTGTCTTTGTTCTGTAACAAATACGGGTTTCCTTCATGGCTGGTGATGGGAGTTACAGCTGTGCTTCCAGGCCTTCCCTGAGATACTGAACTTCCAGGATGTCTGATGAAAAGAGGTGGAATTTAATACCTTTCCTCTTTCTTCCGTCTAATTCATTCATATGGTCATCAGGTTAAATGAGAAACAGAACTTTAGTTATTTCTCACTTGTAAAAGATTTTTTTTTTGTTTCTTTCAAAGATGTTCCCCCAAAACCTTTACTCTTTGTCGATCAAATCAGATCACAAGTACCCTGTGCCTTCCACTGCTAGCACTGGCACAGGATGAAAGCTGAACCGTGTTTACCTTAACACAGTTCTGTTTCTGATGTACTACTTCACGTATACGCTAATAGCAAGGGGTTGGGAGAGCTCAGGTTTTGTGGTCTACCTGAAATTACCTGGTATATGCCGTTCATGAAATGAACTGGAATACTAAAGGGCAGCGAATGGTGGTAGGGATTTCTTAGAAGAGTGGAAAGGATTTCCATCCTGGAAGGTCTGGCTTCTCGGTCTCCGTTCTGCTGGGTGCGCTCTACACATCGCTGACAATATATTGCATATTTCCCAAATTCAGTCCTGTGACAAGAAGAGAAATAAGGCAATTCTTGGGGACTGATTGAAAGGATAGTAACGTGTGAATAAATCTTTCTGGGGATGCCAGATGGGAGGGGCACTCACATTCCACTCTGTGAGATTTCCAACACATTTTTCCACATGGAATTATAAAGAGAATCTACCAAGACTAGTGGAACTGTGCCAAAGATGAACATGGCTCAGAGTGTTTTGTGTAATGGCCGTATTTTGGTTTTCATGGTTTTGCAACATACAGTCTGTTCCACTGCAGAGTATTTTTCAAAACAATGGAAAACTTTCCCACCTGATGTATAGCAACTCTTATGTTTTAGTAGCGCTGGAGCACAATTCTACTCAAATTTTTTTTTAAATAAATATGCCAAAAGATCTGAAATATTAAATGTAAGATTGAAAATAATGTGCTCCAGAAAGACTAGCTAGGTAATAGTATTCAGGCGCACCTGGAATCTGCGTTCTTCTTTAAATGAAGTTTAAGAAGCCAAAGGAATGGGTGCTGGGGCAGAAAGAGTCCAACGCAGAGAGCCAAGAGCTGCAAGCCCTGGACAAAAGGAAGACATTTATTGTTTTAAATCTTACAAAGTAAAACTTCCTGCTGTGGCTGCTGACCAGCAGTGCAGCTTACTGTGCCTAGTCAAGTAACAGACAGCTGTAAATAGAAATAAAACCCCAAAACATGGAGAAAAAGCTGAGTAAATATACATGTCACTTCATCAGAAGGCCAAAATGCTGTCTTTCCATTTGTGTGCCCCAAGTTTCTTTCAGGGCTGGAAGTGGGAAAGCAGATAATTTTGCAGAAAAAGCAGTTAATACACAGGAAAAAAATACTTCGGCCGCAAGGCCAAGCACTAAGAAATGAGGGCAAGCCTGTGCAGTTTCGATTCAGCTCTCCTGTTACGTATATGATGAAGGAACTCATATGACATTTTCCTTCTATCAAATAGATGATAACTATTGAAAAAAATTATTCAATATTTTGCTATGTTTTCATACAGACTGCTCTCATGTACTCTGGATATACATTTACTAACATTGCAATTACTTTTCTCAAAACTGTATCAATGGATAATACTGAAATTTAGAAAATGGCATTTTTCTATCTTGATTTATCTGACTTGCCTAGAATTAAACATAAATCTGACAGCACAGATAATCCCTTTCATCAAATACCTGTACTTTCATGGAGGATAGTATCAGCTCTGTTTCAGGAAGATGTTGCAGTAGAAGCAAGTGTGGGAGACTGCAGCATGAATTTAGGACTTTAAAAAAATTAGTGTTGATGCTGCAAACATTTTACTGAATGTGTTAACTCTTAAAAATCATGCCAGTGGATTATGATAGCAAGAATTTATTTATCTGTATCAGAGGGAAGGCCTTGCCAGTTATATGAAAAGTACCAAAGTAGGATTATGGTTTGTTTAAATTCCATCAGCTACATGTAACTTCAGTTTGTGCTTATTTACATGAAGGTGCTATGTCTGTCATAAAAGCTTTGAGGATATTTTAGCGATGCACACATACTGGCCAGATCTCAGGTAAGGGCTGTTCCTGGATAATAGGTCTGTCTGCTACTCACGTTCTACTTTCTGTGGCAGGAGAAAAATGTGTCTATTACAACAGTCTTAATATGGTAATTTCCTTTCTCATTTTCTAATCCATCTCCGAGTTTAGTAGGTATTGCTCCATCATAAGCACTATTGTTCTGGGTCTATTGATTCTGTGCAAACTATAAGTATTGGATTTCCTTTCAGTTTCAGTTCCTTCAGCTGTTACTGTTTGGACACCGGTGAACAGCTGGCAGTGGACAAAGTGAAGAAGTATGTATTTATAATCTAGCATGCAGGGGTGCGTGCAGAGCAGCATGACCTCCAAGGGGTGACATCTATCAGAAACCCTGAGTGTAGGTGAGATGCCACAACAGCTTTTCTTTACACTTATGCTATGAAGACATCTGCCACAGGGTTTAGCCCACCAAGCTGCCTGATGCAGCACATCTCTTACGAAAGATGCACTAAAAAAGAATTAGCTTCCACGTCTTACTCAAAACTTACCTTGAAGGTGACCCATTGTATATCCAGCATTTAAAAACCACACAGGCATAAATCGACTCTATCACGTGTGCTCTGATGGAGGCATCAGCTTTGTTTCAGGAAGACACAGCAGTAGTAAGATGATAGTTCAGGTTTTTGTCTGATTTTAAGTAAGAAGATGCTACAGAAGAGCAGAGCCCCTTTACCATCTAAACATAGTTCCTTCACTGCTGTTGCAACAGATACATTAAAATAAACACTGGGTTACCTGTATTGGTCCTGCCTGGTTTTGTGGATGTCGACGTCTAGTCTGTTTAATGAGCTGACAACAGATCTCATTTTGAAGTTCCGGATGCGTGAGGCAAATCTGCAAAGCGCTTTGGGCCAAAGATACATGGTAATCAATGGCAGGGGCGTCCACTGCAGCATTTATGAACAACTGGCAGGTCTAGACAGAAAATAATAAAGCAAGTGAGTTTACACACAAAAAGCCCCAACAAATCTTTTAGACGGTCTGTATAACAGAAGTGTGCTGTAACTGAGGTCACAGTTAGTCAGCTTACCAGCAGAGTAAGGGAACCCTGCTGGCCCTGCAAAAAGGTGTGAAAAGGGACCAGAATGGATGAAAGCTGTAGTGAGACACCTCTTAAAACCCACATTTTTCACTCTGCACCTAATGGAGTGGGCTTTAGCAAAGAGCTGCAACAGTCATGGTGGTAGGCAAGTTTAAGAACATGCTGAAGTTAGCTTACCCCACTACAGACTTTAAAATGCGAAGCGTACAGCTCTCAGTGGCAGCAAGTAGCAAGCATAAAAGGGCAGAACACACACAGATAAGGAAACTGTAACTCGGAGCCATTTGTTTTGTCTTGGCTTTCACTGGCATTTTTACTGTGGGTAAGGATAACCTTTCGCATCCTCAGTACTGTCTTAAGAAAGCCAGATGTTAAGCATTTGTTGTGCCTATTAGAAGAAAGCTTATGTATCACTCATTGCATTTACTGTATATAATAGCTGATGAATTTTCAGGGTATATAAACAAAATACAAGAAATGGATGGAAGCCTAACGTATTTCTAGTCTATCTGAAGATATGTGGATGCACAAGACTAATTTTTATCAGCAACAGAGTAACTAATACATGACTTGATCTGTTTCTAAATCAATTCCCTATCTGACTTTTAAACTGATTTATACAAAGTTTCAGTAAAGGTGATGCAAGTCATCTCTTTTTTTTTTTAAGGTGTCTTTGATTTGAATTAGGTCTGAAATATATTTCAGAAAGTGATTCCCAAATAGACTTATTTTTAACAGAGAAGTACATGCCCTTTTGAATTTTCATACTGCAAGATTGCAGAAAATAAGATGGATGTATTTCTTTGAAGTGCTTCAAATGCATCAGAGAACAAGAAGCTGGAAAGTCTGCCTACAAGTGGCTGTGACTGAACATATGGTGCTTGTCTTGGATTCCTTTCTAGATCTGAACCATTACATCAAAACTCTCCAGATGCTTGATGATTTAGGGAACATGGTCTTTTGACTTGTTTGATTTCTGTGGAGAAAGTTCATTTATCCAAGTTCCATGCCTTCCAACTCCTATTTTATTTCACAACATAGAGAAAAAGGAACAGCAAGGTTTTATTTTGTCTCTGACATAGACTTCATAGCCTGGCTATTTGTTAACCTTCAGGAGTAGTTTTATCCTGGTGAGGGCAGGGGAGAGGAGGAAGAAGGTTAACGCCACTGCAGCAAACTCTTTCATAGATACCAACCACCTATGTGGCCTTTAAGTGGGAAGGATGCAAGATCTTAAAAGCACAGAAAAATTCTCAGCCTAGCTGCAGCACAGCATTTATGAACCATTACGTGTTTCTTAATCATAACGCCTTTTCACTACTGCTGGACCTATATGTATTTGTTTCTTTAAAGGTGTATGAAAATCTTTAAAAGTGAATTCAAAAAACTCTTGTGAAATATTTTTCTATTTATATTACTAGAATACCTCTTTTAAGAATAGCTACTTCATACGAAGAAAATATTTTCTTTTTATTACAAAGAGCAGTAGAATCTCTGCCTTCTATCTCAGTTTGAAATAATCCTTAAAGCTTAAACTTTGCTTTGTTTTTCTTCTGATTTTTAAAATGTGTTCTAGCTTATTTAAATATATCTACAACAAAATTTTTGTCTGCCATTTATTCTTCCTGAAATCTGATCGAAAAAATATTATTCCAGAATCAGTTCTCTGAATATAGAGATCCACCCATGCTGTTAGATTCTCTGGGGCTTATGAACTTCACGATAAAATCATTATCATAGATGATGGCCATAGGTTTTTCTACTAACGAGCACTTTCATCAATAATATCAGCAGAAAGGGCAAAATTTGAAGGCTAAACTGCCCTCTCACAGCTAAAAGTGATCACTCTCACTGGAAGTGATAGTCTTTGGTGATACATTGTGGGGACATTCTTCTACTGTGTGTTAGTTAGCTCCACTAAAGGTAAGAGTCAACTTCTCTTTTCCTTTTTATCTGTTGAACATCTCTAGTAAGCCAGGTAATAGCCATTCTTTAGCTAAAAGTTAAAATAGTTAATAAAAGAGGCATCTGCTATGTTTTTACCTTAAATAATTTAATTGCTTCAGTCTGCAAGGCCTCAGATGGCAGCGTTGTAAGAGGGGAAGCAATTCCTTCTTTGCTGTGGCAAAGGGTAGGATGTCTCCAAATCTGAGAAGCTAAATAGATAAAATAGATAAGGTTTGCAATTACTTCAGAATTCTATTAAGAAAATAATTATTAGAATATTAGTACATTGAAACAAAACCAAACTTACTGGTATCGCCTTCTGTGTTTAATAATTTGCAAATAAGTTGTTCAAACTCAGATCCAACATTTACACTGGTACTTCCAGCTGCAACTGTCAGATGATAAAGCCACGTGTCCTAAAGTAGATAAACACAGCAGCTCACTCATTCCGTGTTGGAAGGAGCTGCTTTATCAGGATTTTGTTCTCAATTTGAAATGCTACCATGCCCTCCTGTGGAAGCCCCAAGGAGTTTGCCTTTCTTTGAATAGTCCTGTATTCATGGTCTCCTATGTTACAAATATTAAGCAAAGAAGCTTGGAGAGGGCTCTCTTCAGAAGTCTTTTACCCTCAGAAATCATGGCTAATTATGAGGGCATTCTTCCTTCCCTCTTGAGAAAACTAACCTAAGTACCGGATCCTGCGAACCTGGGGATAAGGCCAGAAAGCAAAACGAGGTATACAAGATTACTTCAGAACAATGAAGCAATAATAATAATAAAAATGGTTTTAACCATACCTCTCATTTCTCCTTGACTTCAGTAGGACAGCCTTCCCTACTGCTAGTCTTATCAGTGAACATGGGTAACAGAATCCCAAAACCTCTCAGGAAGGTCTGCTACAGGTCTGTCTATGAGTTAATGTAATGTGAGCAACATTCTCTGATTACAGCGTATTTGATATTCTGCACCATCTCCTTACAAAGGCAAGCCTGCTTATTTTCATCTATTTCAAAAAGGGTTACCTGCAACAGCATTAGTTCACAGCTCGTCAATGTTAATGAAGCAAGACCTTCTTGTTTATTATATCAAACTATAAGCTAGGTGACTTGTAGGTCCCACTCCTCCTCCTCAAGAAATATTCCTATCCCAGCACCATACTCATGGATGTGTTACTGAAACTCATTTAAAACATCATTTTATTACCTTCTCGTGCTTGGATCCTATAAGAAGATAAGTGGGTCCTTGATCTCTGGGGTGGATAACAACAGTGTAATGTGTTGACAATAAACTGCGACCACTAGTCTCATAATCTTCATCAGAATCGCATGATCTATCAACTTCTTCAACCTTCGCCTCAAAAAGCTTGATTTGACCAAGAGGAAACTAAAAGCAAATATCAGAAGTGGTGAGAAAGCAAATTTTTGCTTCAGTGCACACTGATTTTGTATTTCTTATTCTACAAATAGAAAGAAAAACATGAACTACCATCAATACCCTGTTCCTGCCAAGGAACATCAGATAAGCCAGCTGTTGCAGACAGGAGAAGGAGAATGATACATGCCAAAGCCTGAAAGCGAGATTTTTCAAGAATTCTTTTCCAGGTCTGCTTCTGTATCTAGTTAATACAACAAATGTCTGTTAGGGTGAGAGAAATCATTCTTCAGAGTTTCCAGACTTGGTTCCAAGCCTAGAACTTTAATTATAATCTTTTTATTTCAGACGACAGGAATGTATTGTTCATGCTATAAACTAAAAAGGTAATTTTTTTATGTGGTAGGACATCTCAGCTGGTTTCTTTCTGCAATCTGACAGATCACAGTACTTGAGTCTTAAGTTGGATATGTAGTTATGATCATCTATCAGGAATTATTTTTATATGAAAAGCCATTCAAAAGGAGATTTTCACAGAAGTAACCCATAGTTGATATTATCAACAGGAAGCCCCAATGAACACAAATACAGCACGCAATCCTCACAACTGGGTCACAGGACTGACAGGATGACTCTCCTTACTGGCAGTTTTATGCAAAGCTTCCTCCCTTCCTGCAGCACCGCT